AAATCATCATCGCATCAAAGGCGAGTACTTGAAGGCGGACCTCTACGACAAATTGATCACTGGAGTTGTCAATGTTTTCAGCACTCGGAATCTTGACGTCCATAAACGCCAGCGACGTCTTCTATCGTCCGAGATGGCCGAATCTGCGCTTCAGAAACACGTCCCCGTGGTCGAATCAAACATTCGATTGGCATTGAATCGCATGCGGGACGACATGGAGAAGAATGACTACACGGTAAGGTTTTCGCTCAATTCTACCGATATGTGCACTGACTGTCTTTGAAAGGACGTGTATCATTGGTTCCTCTCAATGGCCACTGACATCATCGGCGAGCTCAGCTTCGGTGAATCCTTCCGGATGTTGGAGACTGGAGAGGTCTGGTAGACCCGATACGTACGAGGCCATTCATGCTGACTACTTATGAGGAAAACCAATACATCAAAGACATGCAGAGCGTGGCCCAGGCCGGAGGAGTCCGGGTCACTTTTCCCTTCCTGCTCCAGTTATCGAAACTGGTGAATATACCAGTGATAAGCGACGCTGTCGCCAATCAGGAGAGACTCATTGGTTATGCTGACCAGTCTATCAAGCGTCACCAGAAGTTGGCGCAAGACAAAGGCGATGAGATGAGAAGTACACTGTTTTCAAAGCTATATGACCAAGTAAGCGGTGGGAATCTCAGCTTCGTTGAAGTGCGTGACAACGCCGTGGGCTACATCGTTGCAGGCTCAGACACCACCGCAAGTGCCACATTCCAGGAATTCGATGAATGCCAACAGCTAACAATTATGAAGGCAAATTCTTTGACTTACCTTGTTTGGTTGCTTTGTCGTCATCCAGATGTTAGAGACATCCTCGTTGCAGAATTGCGAAGCCTACCCTCAAACTTCAATTACGAGCAAGTCAAAAACCTCGAATATCTCGGATACGTCATCGAGGAGACACTGCGCCTCTACCCCGCTGCACCGGCCGGTTTGCCCCGGCTCGTCCCGTCTGGCGGTGCGGAACTCGGTGGCTATCTACCTTCCAGCTGATACCGTTGTCAGCACGCAGGCTTGGAGCTTGCATCGTGACCCCAGGGTATTCTCAAATCCGCTCAAATTTGACCCTGGACGATGGCAACATGCAACGAAGGCAATGAAAGAGTCACTACTCACTTTCGGCGGGGGTAGCCGTGGTACGTACAGATCATATCGCGTCCAGTTCACGGTGCTAGGACTAACCTCCCCTAGTCTTCTTGGAGGTTCACCTCGCACGAATGGAGTTGCGGCTCGCTGCAGTCCATTTCTTTCTTGCTTTTCCTGAAGCAAAAATGTCGTCCGAGCAAGGCTTCACGGACGATGATATGGAACCAGAAATGTATTTTCTCCTGAAACCGGCTTCTCACAGGTGTCTCGTGAAGGCAAATTGAGCAAAGCTAGGCACATGGCGGGGTCGGCCTGGGTTGTTGTTCCGGATCCCTGGACACCTATACTGCGATTCCCTTGCTGGACGAAGCACCCGCTGAAGTGCTCTTACTCGACTCCCCTATTGTGTGGCTCGTCATAGGGTGGGCTATGAAACTCCAACAAGCATGTACATAGATCATTAGAATGTATTATTGTATGGCTACCGCGCCATTTTGTTGTTTGTTAGCCTGAGAAGTACCGACTTGGAGCTTCCCCTAATCCAAAGAGCCACTCTTGTGACAGCTGAGCGATCGCATCACTATGGTACTGATCGTAGTAGATGCTCTGCAGGTGCCCGAAGCAGTCGCGTAGCGTATCATCCACCGTCATGTTGACAAAGCTCTGGTTTGTCTCGTGCCCATAGATGGCGTCTGTGAGATTCATGTCCACGGTCTGGGATGTGTGGCCAACATCTGCGGGCTGATTGGCGAATGACATACTCGTTGCAATTGTCTGCCCATTTTGTGCTTCCACAACGTCCGCTACAACCGCGTCACTCAGGCGGTCAAACAATTCAGAGGAGTTGCGTGCCATAGTCCATCTTTCTGAGAGAGCGACTAACACCTTAGAGCAGGCACGAGTATCGTTGACGACCTGACTGATGGACGGAGTCGAACTGAGGGTTGCATTGGCGACGTTCCCACTGCCTTGAGACCGGTTCTGGATGTGCTGAATATGGTTTCGGAGGGCATAGATATAAGAGAGGCCGGCAATGAATATGGAATGAAGAGTGACCCAGGAGTAATTGATCTTTCTGGATCGATGTAAGTTGGCGTATAGCTTGATTGCTTCTTGTGATGAGTCGAACATGTGCTGCAAAACGTTGCTGTTTCTGGAGGCGTCGCATATGGAGGGGGACGGTCGAAATAGCATGAGAATGCCGTTGTGGTACAGCAGCTCGTACCATTCCGCTGAACGGAAACTAGACCTGCCAGCCGGAGATGCGAGGGGTGCGTCGGCGGGAATGAGCGGGAGGCTAGAAGTCCCCGCACGCCATGTTTGGAGCTCCTCGGCTAAAGCCTCTCGGGTAGTCTCGTATGTGGTGTTGCTTTCTCTGTTGATCGTGCTTCGGTGCAGTGAATTAAGGATTTTTCCGCAGATAAGTCGGTATCGCACGATATGGACGAATATGACTGTGCCCAGATGCCACTCTGGGGTTCCAAATAGCGCTGTAGACAAGTGACCATCAAGTGGTGCACTGGTCGGAATCGACTCCGAGTGAGGAAGCTCGGCGTCGATGTCGTCCAGCTGTATCGCGAGTGGTCGCCCAAGAATCATGCTGGCAATGCGATCCATGGATACCACGCTCCAGAAGCATCTTCGCTTGATCTCCAAATCTTCCTGTCTTGCCCCGATTTCCGTCTCATCTCCGTCTCGAGGTAAGCTGTAAGTCGACGACTTGTGTAAGCCAAGTTCGAAGCATGTCCGCGCTGCCACTCCGATGAGATGCCAGACATTGGTGCTCGTATCATGGGACGTGGTGCCCATTCTGTACTGGCAGATGAGAAGCAGTGCCTGAAGCGCCGTAATCCCGCCCTGGCCGAGAACATCAACAAGACGCGTCAAAGCTCGATTGTAATGGACCTCGGCGTCCCAGATACCATTCCAATTGAGCTTGTAAACTTGTGCGGTGCCGATCGCAAGGGTCATATCGACAAGGAAGCCGTCAACGGGATTGATCGAGTCAGAACTCCTTGCCTCATAAACAACATCCAGCGCCTTATCGAGCGCCTTTGGAGACAGGAAGGGGTAACAGAGTCGATCATGGCCACAATACGCATTCACTATCTCTGTCGCCATGGCTCTTGGTGGCAGGCTCGAAGCGGCGTTGAGGACCAAGCTTCCTGTTGTGCCATCGCTGTTCGATGTGAATCCCGGAGGTTGGCCACCTATGAGTTGAGACGGCGCGGCAGGTTGGCTGTGCGATTGAAGTAGATTGGCGAGGAAAAGTCCACTTGTCGATCCGACGAAGTCTCTCCCTCCCCCAGCACTGAGTGACAGATGGATAACCTGACTGGCGATTTCGTTGCTACCAGCAGGGGCTCGTTGCTCCTCGGTGTGCAGACCGAGGCTTGATGAGGTGGCAGGGGTTACCAGCCTGTCTCCGCTACTTGCTCGCTCCTGGTGCTGCTGGGGCTGCTGTTGCTGAGCCTCGGCCAGTTTACCGGATAGCTCGTCATTCTCTGCTTGGAGGTCTCGTATCTTCTGCTCAAGTCTCTCGACATCCTGGCGTCGTAGCTCAATCTGCTGCTCCCGTGCGGCATACGTGCATTGCGCGTTGATCCTGGCACACGGCGCGCATGATGGTCTTGTACGGTCGCACCGAACCTTTCTGCGGTGACAGCGCTGGCACGCGCCGATCCGGCTGGCGGATGCCGGTGGCATTGAATGCAACCCTTGCCTCTCTTGTCTGTGTAGAGGATCAACTCATGTTGTCCTAGCAGTTGCTCAAGGGGGCTTGTCTGCGATGACGAATGCCTGGGTTGAAGGGGGTTGTTTCCGGGAAGTTGGAAAGTCTGGGGTAACCTCCCAGCGTGGGGACCTTTGAGTGCTAGAACAGGGGCTTCTTTAGCCAACCATCCCTCCCCGGTTTCGGTCATATTGGTGGGTCTGGGACAGGATTTCTTCCTGGTGCACTCAAGACATTATCTGACTACATGGATGATCACCTTGCGTCGATGAGGTATGAGCTAATGTTTCTTGGATGATTTAGGTAATTTTCGGAGTTTCACGGGATGTGGACTTTGTGATAGTTTCAGTCGCAGTATGACAATGTGCCATGCTGGGGCCAGACCATCCCAGCAATAGCATCCATCTTGACGACCAACACAGTTTCCGGGGGAAGCTGAGCTCTTGACGGGCGAAACACCACGGACTCAGGCGGAATGCGAGACGTCACATTTGACACAAATTTTAACACATGTATATTGACCTGCCATTTGGCAGCCGGGAGTTAAGACTAACTACGCCCTCCTCCCGCCCATCCCTACAATTGACAAGAATTACCGGTCGCTCCTGGCCTGCCCCGCTTCGACTGCCTCAAGAAGCCTAAAGTCTCCGATCGTCGTACTAGACCAAGTCTAGGTACCCAAATGATCAGTCCAATCAGTCAAGATGATTGAATGATGTGCAATTTTTTATTGGAAGCTATCGGTACAACTTTAGATAGAACCTAGAACACCACCAAACTGTAATTGGAGGCTCATGCGTTCACTGCGGGGTGGCTCATGGACACCGGCGTTTTCACATCTTTCCGATTGTCCTTTGGACCACAGACAGCACTCATGGATCTTGTGAGTTTGTCCGACTCCACCGGAACATCTCAAGCACATGAATACAGCGAGGAGGCAAGCAAGCCAATTCAGGAAGAGTCATAACCACGCCGAAGGGCCGCTGCCTGATGTCCTAAAGCACTGACATCTTGGAATTCAAGCTTTTGGGCTCTGTGATTTCAGCTATTGCGTATTCTCTTCAGGTCTCACCCGAGCCATAATATGCCATCCGAGCCTACATCTTTACATAATTTCCAGTGGCGAGCGCCTATTTCCACCATGATCTTCTTCAACAGCAAGTACATGGCCCTTCTTGGGGCAATTGTCTCGTACATAGTCGCCATCTCAATACTCTGCGCCTTACGTCCAGGCCTTCGTCAGATACCAGGCCCTTGGATTGCTAGATGTAGCCCTATTTGGAGGGTGATATTCGTGTGGAATGGAAACGCTCATGAACGATACCGAGAGCTTCATGTAAAGTATGGACCAATCGTGCGAACTGCCCCGAACGTCGTTGATATCTCGGATCCTTCCGCCATATTCACTATATATGGCATCGGCAGCAAATTTCTCAAGGTTCGTGCATACGTGGTGGATAGTAAATGATGGATTGATGCTCATAGAACAGTCTGCGTTTTATCATACCCTATCAATGGCATACGAAGGCAAAAACATGCCTAGTATGTTCTCCACCACCGATCCCGAAGAGCACAAGGCCCTCAAGCGGCCGGTTGCTCAGAAATTCTCCATGAGCTCGATCCGAACACTCGAGTATCTGGTAGACCCCTGTAGCCAGATTTTCACCGATGCTATGTTATAAATGCAGGGGCAGGTTGTCGACCTCGGAACCTGGGTTCAGTGGTACGCCTTTGCCGTAATTGGCGCTATCTCGTTTGCTCGAAGATTCGGGTTCATGGAAGAACGCAAAGACATCGAGGGAATGATTGCGGGTATCGAGTTCGGACTTGTCTATGTCGGCCGGGTCGGGCAGGTGCCATCTCTTCACCCGTTTCTCCTCGGGAACCTCGCCCTTAGGAGGGCTTTTTCTAAACTAGTCCCCGTCTCCAGAGATCCCATCGCAACTTCCACAAAGGTATGTCCGACTGGGGCGGTAGTGGCTCAGATCCCCTGCTCAGAAGGCTTGTCTGACTGACTGTCTGAATAGATGGTGTTGGAAGGCATCAAGGAGTACGACGCCGAAGAGGCAGACACCACTCATAGACGAGACTTCCTAGCATACTTGCGACAGCAGCAGAAGTCCACCGGCACCATCATGAGTACGTGGGAGCTTATGAACCACTTGATGAACAATCTGTAAGTTCTCGGCGCCCGACATATTCTTTGGGTTGTAGGCGCGTTCTACTAACAAGCCTAGTCTAGCTGGAAGTGATACTACGGCTATTTCTCTCCGCGCTGTATTCTACTACCTCCTGAAGAACAAACACGCGTATCAAACGCTGCAACACGAAATCGACAAGGCCGACAGGGACGGAAAGCTGTCCCCCGTTGTGCAGTACAGCGAGAGCCTGGAACTTGAATACTTGTGAGCGTTGAGATGCTTTCATCAGGCAGCAAAGCGCATATGGATGAAGAATAACACGATTTCAAAAGGCAATTATGTATCAAAGAAGCCATGCGAATGCACCCCGGTGTATCATATCCCCTTGAGCGTATAGTGCCCGAAGGTGGAGTTGAGCTATGCGGAGTACAGCTCCCAGCGGGAACCATTGTAGGCATGAACGCAGCAGTCATCCATCGTAACTACGAAATATTTGGTGAAGATGCCGATGAGTTTCGACCCGAGCGTTGGCTCTGCCCTGAGGAGCAGGCCAAGAACATGGATCGGCACTTATTGACCGTAAGTCGCAGCGCTATCTTGTGTTCACACGCGTTTACTGCCTCCCTACATTCTTCATTTCTTATCTTCATCGTTGCATACTTCAACGCCACAAATCTGGTATTATCTGATCAAGGGCACTGCTAATATATGGAATCGCTGACTAAAGTTTGGAGCGGGCGCAAGAACGTGCATCGGGAAAAACATTTCTATCATGGAAGTCGGCAAGTTTGTGCCCCAGATCCTTCGCCAGTTCGACTTAGAGTGGGCATCGACCGAGCCAGAATGGAAAGTCAAGACGTTTTGGTTTGCAAAACAGTCAGGACTTCTGGTCAGATTCACTCCTCGTGCAGCGGCTAGCAATTAGGGTATTTGATGTTGTAGTGAGGAAGTGTCAAGACTTTGAGTCAGTATTTCAAATGTAATTAGCAACTTGAATATGTCCTTATGAAGAAGGCAACACTCGACTTTTATTAAGTCTAGTTGCAGTGTATTATCTCTTTTTATTATTGGGAGAAAGGGATAAAATTAATACGACAAGTACCTTGAAATCTGTACTCAGATTCAAAATATCCCTTCATGTACCCCTCTTGTGATAGTCGTCCTCAAAATCGGCAGAATCACGATACAATAAATTGCGAAGAGTTTTGCTATCCGGGCGGATACTTCTGGCTAACTGGGCGGGTGTAGATGTGAATATAACGACACTAACGGCGACGACGATGACGACGACGAAGATAATAAGAGGGATATAGAGAGGGATAGAAATAGCGACGAAAATAATAGAAGTTAATCGAGATAAAATCAACTATTAGACCTAATATAGGTAGTTATCCGCCCGGTTAGCTAGAAGTATCCGCCCGGATAGCAAGACTCATTGCGAAGGTCTCCTTTCGTGGAACCTTTGGCGCCTGTAACCTGATCTATGGCCTCTAGAGATCCTGTTGAAGCCTCCATCTGATTGTAAGAGTAATGGTGTTGCCCACTCGGTTACCCTGCCTCCACTCGGTAATTGAAGCGGCAGGAATTGTCCCAAGCGCGCCCTGTCCTTCGAGGTCAATGGAAGCACGGTTGAGTCTGATATCGGTGTTACGGAACCGGGCTTGAATTTGCATCTCGGCATGCGCAGGAAGGTCGTAATCTTCACCGAGATGGATTCCAAGGAAGGCGGAGCCATCAGCCCGGTTCCAGACAGAAGCTTCGACTTCTCCTCCGGCCGAGCGGCCTTCCTGTGTGAGAGGGTCGCCAGGTGCAGGGATGGTCAGCTCGAAGGTGTTCCAAGTGGGTGCATTGAAGAATGGGACGCAGCCGACAATTGGTCGACACACGGATTGACGCGATTTGAGGTTGACCGCGTCATCGGGCGAAATAGGTAAGGGGCTCGCGGAGGCGCAGGACAGAAACAGGAAGACGTAAGCTAGCGCCAGGGCTAGAAAGTTCTTTTGAACTGACATTGCGATAATGGAGAAAATTTGTGGGACAGAGATATGACCGTAGTGCAGAGCGTTGAATAGGCTGAAGGAGATCGTAGAATCTGGCGCACACGAACCTCAACACCTGTGGAAACTGAGCACCGAGTTCAATTTTAATAGCTCGTGTGAGGTGCACAATGTCGTGGGCTTCAATCGGATCAGTCGGACATGAGATTCTGTTCATAAATTATTGAAATCTGGATCTACCTTGCACATCGTGGGCCAACTGAGTTAGTTCTCAATCTGTCTGGGCTGGCTTAGAACTTAAAGCAAAGTGCGGGTCTGCCGCACGACCTTAACATTGCAAGAGAACAGTTCCATGTCATGAACTTGTATTCGATCATCTAATTCAATTGACAGTGGATGCACCACGTGAAACCTAAATCGGCATGCCGCATTCCACATCTTTGTTTTACACCTTCGCCTCATTGTCGTTTTGCAGAGGTGGATCATCTCGCAAGAAGTCTTAACCGGCGAATTGGTTGAACTCTAAAATTTCGGGAACGCTCGGGGTACAACCCATGATTACAGTTAATTGACAACTGAACTACCTAGTAAACTATATCATCTAGTTTATTAACGACAAAGACAGTCTAATTTGAAAAGTACGAACGGCTAAGCGTTTTGTTCGAACCTCCGTAAGATCCGGGTGAAGCCATAAATAGCTGTCTCAGAACTATTCCGTTGCATTCAATTTCGTCACTCAATATTGCTTTTACCAGTCCTTTCAAGACACTTGGCGACCTCTACAGCGCAGCTTTGAAACGAGTTTGCAGTGAACATTTTCCTCCTCGCGTTACCTCCCGAGTTTGAACATCAGTAAGTGGCCAACACCAAGTACATCGCTTTGCCCTAGGTTGTCCAACTGGTTTTGGCGGAGTCTAGTGAAGCTCTCTTCTATTTCTCTCCTGCCAGCGCTGGCCGCTGGGTGTATGGCGAAATACTGCCACATCGACTACAACGATTGCTTCAGCCAAATCACCTTTCAGCAATTCTTCGACGACCGCATTCAGGCGTGCGCCAGCCTGTCGGGCATCATCGATGGTGTGTACGGGCCTGAGATTCAGTGCAAGAACGTGCCTGACTGGGTTCCGGCACCGAGCTCAATCATCGTAGCAAACGCTGAATGCTCCTTCTCATGCCAAAAGGTGTAACAAGACCATGTATCAAGTCAATTTTGAGCCTGCGTTCCACTTCCAGTGGTTTAGAGATTATTTATGATCACAACTATCAAAGTAAACCACACGACAAGAGTGACAATCCTTGAGTGAATCACATGGCAGCATACTCGATTAGGCCATGCCTTGGGGGGCGTTGTTCTAGTTTGTTCGAAAAACGGACATTTTACCGAGAGTTTGCTTAGTACACCAAAGAAGCCTTGATCAAGCCCAACAACCACCCTTTAATTGATGAGCGTCAAGTGTACTGCATCGAATCGACACCGTCTATCCAATAAAAGTGGCGATCTATGATAAGAACGAACGCCGCTGACGTAACTGTCAATCTTCTCGGCTGATACAACGTGATCCATCAAGGACTTCCGGCCCCAAGAAGGCAATCCTTCCTAAGAAGGAAACACTGGCTTTATAGAATACGAGAAGGAAGCATGCTTGAAGGACATATCAATGTATTAGCGGCATAAGAATGCAGGTTCACTAGCCTCAATTCAGTATGTTCTTCATACGCAGGCCCGCTTCTCGCTTACCGGTTGCATAGGCAGACAAGTCGAGATCCAATTGCCAATGTAGCTGACATTCCACACCAGGCCTGATGACGTATCTCATCATCATTCGCGTGCAGGTGTACATGGTCATTATATGAATGGAATCTACTCCGCATCGACCGACAAAGTCCAAGTGGTTAAGTCAACGCCCTACCAGGTAAATTCGCAGAACCCACGGTAGACTGTCTTCTGCATATCGGACCTGCAATGGCCGGCGGTGCAGTTCTTTCTCTCAATTCCACGGATATCTTCTTCACGACGCAGGGCAATGCGACTGGTATCCCCTTTTTGTTTATCCATGGTTGGGCTGCCGACCAGACCGATTGGGCCTTTCAAACCATGTTTCTTGTGCTTCTGCAGCTCTTCAATGTTGTTACCATGGACCTCCGAGGCCACGGCCGCAGCACCTTGTCCCAATCATGTAGTCTGGTCATGGACCCAGTCACTATGGCCGACGACGCTGCCGCTCTCCTAAAACACCTAGGTGTAAGCGCCACCAATAAAGCTATCGTCATGGGACACAGCTTAGGCGGCACTGTTGTTACCGAGCTAGTTCATGGCTACCCAGACCTCATTCGTGGGCAGGTAATAGTTGACCCGTCATATTACCTGACTCCTGAGGTAACCGAGGAGCTTATACCTGCCCTCGAAGAGGACTTCGACAGAGCTGTGATCGCGTTCTGGGAGAACGAGGTTACATATCCTGCAGACACGCCGGATTATATCAAAGAATGGCACAAGCTCCGCACATGGTGCGCTGATGAGATGGCGATGATTACTGCGTGGGTTCAGATGAGTGATGCGCAAGGGCTGAGTGGCATGGATTATCTGAGACCAAAGAAGATTGCAGGGATTCCGAGGCTGGTATTGAGCAATACAGAAGCGGGCAAGGAGATCGAAGATGCGGCTGGTATTGATGATGAATTTGACACGGTTGAAGTCATAAGCGTTGGACATTGGATCATGAAAGTTGCCCCGGAAAGATTTAACCAGGCCCTTGAAAAGTGGATCTGGACTTGGATATAAGTTGATGGTAGAGATTGTGACCCAGCTTAACGGCCATGCATCAAGACAACCTCCTAGCTTACCTAACATTTTCAATTACAACGTGTTGTAGATGATGCCTCGATTCGTTGCAATGTTTGACTTGACCCATGCCTCGAAAGTGACGATGGTTGAACGAAGTGGTAAGGTGACTCGCAGGGCCTCAACAGCGGCAAGACGGCAGGCTCACCACACACCGCGCGCTGTGCGCACGCATGAAAAAGGCATTAGCCCAACTCTACGGAATGATGTGAGACAACGCGAGGCTCCTGCTCAAAAATGTAGAAGCCGGTCAGAAAGGGACAAGTTTAAGTTCAGCGGTATCAACGTAGTAGCGAGCCTACGCACTGAACGACGAGTCATGGGTTCTACATATGACTCGGCGCTTAATCTATCTTGAAGTATCGCGTATAGACAGCGGAGAGCCTTACCAGAAAGCTTCGAAGATCTCCACGAGCACGAACTCTGCAATTTCCGACCTCAGTCGTCGCATGCTTGCAGCCCCAAGGCTCCACAGGTCGCAGATCAGCATTCACCACTTGTTTCTGAGGAGCCTCATTTAATGTAATTGATCCGCCTCCGCTATGATGATGTCATCAGACAATTCATATTTCTTCGGATCATCTCGGTTTCGCGATTCACTTGTCCGGGTTCTCCTTGGGCAATGAGAGCACCGAGCTGGATGACCAACTCGACGTCGTTGCTTGCGCAAGTGTTTGTATTTACTTTCAAAGACATTGTAAATTGCTGACCCTATACATTGCAAGACATAGGGTAGCTCATAGCCGAAAACCTCTGTAGTTGAGCACTCTTTTATCGTTGAGGTATCGGAAAGAGACGGAGGCAAAAGCGAAGACGTCGAAAGTTGAATGGTCGCTCTTGAGAATGAGATGACGCGAGAAGGAAGAGAGCTGAGGAGGCTTTTGCAGTTGTTGTGATAAATATCGTCATGTTCTGGTCTTAAGTCACAATACAGAGGAGACACAAAGATGATATATTACACATGCCATCAGTCGTACCTTTCTGCGTCAACTTGTCGTAGCCATGGAGCCTGTGAACAATCGTTCGCTCACAATCAGACTAGACTGAAATAAATTAACACCGGCAGCCCAATATTCCCATGCGACGGTCGCCCCAAGCACTGCGATACCAGCCTCTAGTTTGCAAATCGCCATATGCGACTACACACTGGAACCTGCCCTTTGTTTTGTTCGATTTACGAAACCCAGCTCTCTCAACCCGAGAGCTCTTGTAACCTGCCTCGTATCTTGGCCTGATGTGAGTTGTTGCTCAGACAAAGACTCCGGTGTCCAGGGAATACAGGGTGCGGGTACCAGTGGCCGAGAAATTAGGCACATGTCTACGAGAGCAACGTCGAGAACATTTAAACCTTGCGTTTCTAATCAAGCTTATTTTGTGTTGAGCTTACCACAAAGTTGTAGCTACCCGTGTTACCCCGGTCATGGACCTATGCCCTCTTGGGATGCTCTCCTCAAATTGGCAAAACACAGTCCTATTCCGTGGTAAACTGTTCTATCCTGCCAAATCGTCGATGGAAGACTAACGAGCACCTCAGTGTCCATACACTACGCCGGGATATGTGGCATCCCTAGGGTAGCCAGTAGTTGCATAGCTTTGCGCTTGGCTCGATGGTCTTGAATCATCTGGACCATGGCCGAAGATGCCGGCCGAGTATTTGGTTGGCAGAGCATTCGCCCTTTACTTATGAGGCCAGATATTTCGATTTGCTCCTACCTGTTGCGTTCAATGCTGATATCTGATTGGTTGGGGTTATGTAGACAAGAATGCATCTTGAGAAACTTTGATTGACTACCTGCATTTGCTGTTGTTTTTCCGCTTCATCACCGTGAGCCAAAAGCCATGCACGAAAAACAACGCGTGGCTTCCCTTCTTGCCTCTCTTCTTGCCTCTCTTCTTGCCGGTGGTCACTCTGTAAGGGTGGGGAGCTGAAGGAAGATAAATGCCCTGTAGTGGTTGCACTCCCAACTCTGCGAGGCGCTCTAGTCACAGAACGATTGCACCTGATCATGCACGAAGAGGCTCTTCGATGACGGTTGTCGATTGCCCGCTAGTTTCCTGCCGTAAGGTCACAAATTTTATGCTAGGTCATCTTTCGTACGACCATCTCATCGTTCAGTACGGCCCTTCGTCTACCGAGTGACCTTTAAATCCGCTCCATCCCACTACTACAATTCAACATCTGGAGCTGGGATAAGCTTCGATGGGTATTGGGCACTGTTACTTCATCTCCAACAGTCCACTGAGATCATTTCGAAAAACAACATAGATCTTGAAACATCCAAATATTCACAATAAACGCCAGCCTTGACCTCTGGCTCGCCTGCCACCCGAACTCCACCCACGTGGGGAGCTTGCTTGCGTTCATCCAGTGTCACAAATGACAAAGCACGTGCAGTCAACGGACTGAACCCCACGGTACTCTGCGATCAACGCGCAACACTAACCGGCATGCGGAGTAGTCCGCGAGATTTTCTGCTCCCCCGTTTCGAGGGGTTAAAGTGAGGATGATGCCGGTGAGAGGATAAGGTTTGGTGTCTCGCTGGGCATGTTGGGACCCGTTTATAATTGACACTGTGTTAGGGGTGCATTCTTCAAGCCCCTGCATTTTGCAGTGCTACCTGATGTAGCTTGCACTGTACGAATGAGTCGCTGGCATAGCCCTGCTGAATCGCGTATGAAGACGTAGTTCGTCCGAGTTGGACATCAGCTCTCGTGCTTAGCAATTGAAAGGGTTCCATTGATCACGCCCAGCTTAGTGGAGCCTTGCAATCTGTGGGTGCAATAAACTCGAGCAAAGGCGTGGATGGGGCGATACTAAATGTCATGGTGATCCTGCAAGGGACGAGGGTCCTTTGCAGATAAGACAACAAAATCCGCAAAACCACTGACTAGAGAAACAGGCGGCCGATACATCATACAGGGGAAGTACTATGGGTACATACAGGGAAAGATTCTGCTCAAACAAAGCTGGGACAACAGCACGCAAAGAGCGATGCTTAGATGCGTCTATGCCGCAAGGTTGAGAGACCAGGCCTCAATCCCAGAACACCGCGAAGTGGGGCGCCACCGGTGAATACTTGTTGGAGCACTTCGACTGCTAGGACCCTTGAAGCGGCCTAAATCGAGTACTAGTAGGGGCTATTCATGTCATTCGATCACAACTCCGCCCTGAACCTCATTGCAGTGGTCACCTCTTACTTCCTGAGCAAGTGACTGGAAGCAAAATATCGAACAACCGCCAACGATGGCGTCCAACACGTCGTTGTACGGGTGCATACTTGCGACTATCTTGTTTTACTTCAGTTACAAAGCAGTCGTCGAACGGCGCAGAAGAGCTGGCAAAGTCTCAGTCACCAGTCTTCCCATACTTGACCAGGGGAAATGGTGGGACGTGTTCAACCTCAAGCCCAAATTCAGCTTTTATCTCGATGGCAGAAAGGCTCTTGGGCGCGCAATTAAGCAAGCCAATGGCAAACCCTTCCGCATCGTTGGTCCTGGAAGAACACTTACCGTCTTGCCTCCCCCCTACGCAGAGGATATCAGAAATGACAAGAGACTGGACTTTGGGAAGGTCGTGGCCCAGGTATCTTCTACTCTCTATACTTCCTGATGATTATGTTCTAAAAGTTGTTTCAGTTTGTTTCTCATGAAACCCCCGGTTTCGAGGGTTTTGCAAGCGGTCTGAATGACCTGCCCGTCGTCTTGGATATGTGCAAATACAAGTTGACAAGGGAGCTTGGTATGTACAAAGTTATGAGACTTTGAGGAAGTTAGCTTACCAGTCTCTAGCGAGTGTTATAGAGCCTCTGCCGGCTGAGTCCGAGATGGCCATTGAAGATATTTTACAGATACCTCACAGCGACGGTAAGAACAATCCATTAGATGCAGAACTTCGTGGGATTAGAACAGTGGACTAACACTTATACAGAATGGCAGAAAGTTCCAATCAAGCAGCGTCTGAATCTGCTTGTTGCTCGTGTCTCTGGGCGCGTGTTCCTCGGTGAAGAGCTGTGCCGTGACCCGGCGTGGCTCAACATTGCCGTCAGTCACATCATGACTGGCTTCCTGGCAGCTCTGAGTCTGAGAATGTTCCCAGCATTCATGAGACCCTTTGTTCACTGGTTTCTGCCTCCTTGCCGCAAGCTTCGCTCCCAAGTGGAGCAGGCCCGAAGTCTGATCCGCCCTGTCATTGAGAAGCGAAAACAAGAGAAAGCGGCAGGCATTGCGAAGGGCGAGACTCCCACAGAGTACAATGACAGTATTGAGTGGTCGGACACTTATTCGAATGGTCGCAAGTTTGATCGCGCGGATCTTCAGCTTGGCCTTTCAATTGCCTCCGTCCATAACACGACCGATCTTCTTTCTCAAGTGGTCTACGATCTTGCCGGTGATCCTGAGATGGTGCAGCGCCTGAGAGAGGAGGCAAAGGAAGTGATGGGGGAATCGGGGTGGTCCAAGACGTCCCTCTACAATTTGAAGCTACTTGACAGCGTCATCAAGGAAAGCATGAGGATCAAGCCCATTCTCACTGGTAAGTTGTGTCAAGACAGGTTCGCACGGTCTTCAGGAGAGGGTTGCTGACAAGCCACGTTGTTACATAGTCGCCATGCCTCGCGAAGTCACCGAGGAGATGACTCTTCCAGACGGCGTGATATTGCCAGAAGGCACTGTCATTGGCGTCTCAACAGAGCGTCACTGGGACTCGAGCATTTACCCTGAGCCGCATACCTTCATCGGGGACCGCTTCCTGAAGATGCGACAGACTCCCGGGAAGGAAAACGTTGCCCAGCTCGTAACGACCAGCATTAACCACCTGGGGTTCGGGCATGGCAATCACGCATGCCCGGGCAGGTTTCTCGCCGCGGCCGAGATCAAAGTGATCCTGACTCAGCTAATCCTGGGGTACGAGTGGAGAGTGATAAAGGGCCAAGAGCCAAAGATTCGGGTGCTCGGCGTGAATCTCGACTCAGACCCTTCAGCCAAAATTGAGATTCGGCGGTGTACGGTGTAGTAGTAGTAACAGTATGAAACTGGAGGCTATTTGAAAAGGCCCGAAAGATCTCGCGTGCGCGACTTGGCCAAGGACGGAACTGAAGTCGGACTGGCCGAAAATGAAAATGAGTTGTGATCGGCGTAAAGTCCGTAGCCCTCAAAGACGAGCATAAGGCTGTGATGAAGAACACGACTCGCGGTTGCAGGTGCAGATCAAGATGTGGCACGGCAAGAGGAACAAGTGCATTGGCATTACCGGGAAGGAAGCCGAGCCAATGACTCGTGATACCCTGGACACAACCCTGGCGCGAGTTCCAGTGAGACCCTTGCCTGCAGGGTATCATTTTGAGGAGCTGCGTTGCTATGCTGTTTGGGAACATGTTCGCGCAACATCTTATCGGCTGCAACGAAGGCCCGCTTCAAGCTCAAAGCCTCGAATGTTTGCTGGCGTGTTTGTTAGATCCCTCACGTGCGTTCCTCTTGGTGGTTCTCGAAGTTATCGCCAAAGATGACCTCGTCGCTTCTTCGGAGCTCGTTCCCCTTTGGACTAGAGTCTGATAGCGTGAGGAGAATGTTCACGCTGCTATTTTGCGTTGTAAGTGATGAAGAAATTCCCGTAAACGTACAGTGATGGTTGGTCTGACATGCTGCAGAGTGTCTTGTACACACTTTGGAGGATCTCGTATAACGTGCTCCTCCATCCTCTACGCATGTTCCCTGGGCCGAGGCTTTGGGCAGCATCGCGCATACCCTTTGCAGTTACTTGTGCGACGGGTCAGGGGCACCGGAAGATCTTGCAACTGCACGAAAAGTACGGCGATGTCGTAAGAGTCGCTCCGGATGAGCTGGTCTTCTGCTCACCGGACGCTTGGAAAGAGATTTATGGGCGCCGGAAAACCGCAAGAGGCGAGATCAGCAAAGATTACGTGCATTATGCGGAGGCCAAGGACAGCATCCTCGGCGCACCAAAGGATAGACATACTCAATTACGGCGAATCCTGAGCCGCGGCTTCACTAACTCAGCGGTGCTCGACCAAGAAGGTCTGATCAAGTCTCATGTCGATCAATTGTGAGTTTCATCCTTCTCTGCCTCAGAGCTAATCTGAGAGTGAGACATCGAGGTTCAAGTCGCTGATGGACGACGCCCCGGTGCAGGTTCAACATTCTGGCTGAGCATGAACAATCACAAGGGCCCCTAACGCCAATCGACATGAACAAGTTGTTCGACTTCGTGGCTTTGGATATCATCACGGATTTGGGCTTTGGCGATTCTTTCCATTGTCTTCATACACGAGAATACCACCCTTGGGCTCAATTCTTTTTGGACGCACTGCCCGCGATTGCTCTTGCTACCGCTTTGAAGCAGTTTCAACTCATCTTCAGCGTTCTCATGGCAATGGCCCCCAAGTCTCTTCTTCAAAAACATGAGAACATGGTGCGGCTCACAAACGACATTGTTGAAAGGCGGCTCGATGAGGCTGATCGACCTGATCTTATACAAGCCATGAAGGAGCCTACGTTTGGGCTTGAAGCTAAAGTGAGTACTCTGCTTACTTCGGTCGGATGTCAATCAAAGGCTTACCGTATATGTTATCAGCAATCTTTGAGCTTGCAGGATATCCAAGCGAATGCCCAGATCTTGACAATGGCGGGGTATGACACAACTGCCACGGCTCTAGCAGGCACCACGTACCTTCTGGCAGCAAACGCTGATGTCATGGCGAGACTGACTCAAGAAGTACGGAGGTCTTTCAAAGAAGAAAAGGAGATTACTATCTCAAGTACCAAAAGCCTTGAGTACCTCAGAGCCGTCATTGATGAATCCCTGAGAATGTATCCGCCGGGTGCCTCAGGGATGCCGCGTCGCATAGGAGAGGAGGGAGACGTCATTCTAGGTCACCACATCCCCACAGGAGTAAGTCATCACGTCTTGGTTGTCCTATTATTGCCTTACAAAGTATTCTTCGCGAATTAACTAACGCGAACCCCTTAAAGACTATTGTGTCGATATGGCAGTACGCCATGTACCACCACGCGAAGACTTTCTCTGAGCCCGAGTCGTTCATCCCTGAGCGATGGTCAAATGACAGGATCGATCTCAGCGACAAAAGAGCAGCGTTTCAGCCCTTCTCATTTGGGCCTCGTGACTGCATCGGGAGACAGTACGTTTGACCTCTTTAAATCCTTGTGTCACACACCTCTTGATAGACGATACTGACCAACGTTGCGCAAAGTCTCGCCTATGCCGAGCTCTGCATCATCATTGCTAGATTGGTTTGGAGATTCGATCTGGAACTTGATGACGTGCCTGGTCACAATTGGCTAGGGCGGCAGAAGAATTACCTCCTGTGGGATCGAGGTCCACTCAACATTCGACTCAGACAAAGAGCATAACAGGACAACTTGAGCTCAACACTTTGAGCATACTTGCTTAGGTCATTTAGCTGGCCATGTTGAGGGTCTACAATATTCATAAGCCGTTCAAAGTGATCTGATTCCTAAGTTGCTTCAATAATTCCGTGGAATTTCTTGTGGTTATCTTCTTCCCGGAATCCAGTGGAATTTGTAATCTGTCTTATGTACTACAGCATTTCGTAGCAACAACATACTAGGGCCTTGGACTTTCTGATATCGCTTTTGCACCTTTCGCATTCACCTACTAACCGCAAAAGTGATGTAAGAGTGAGATAAATATTGAGCAGAGGTAATATCTAACTAATAAGGTACAATAAGCTCTCCAATGTCCATCTCCTCCTTCCTCCTGCGGATCTGAATCTTTGTCCACGGACTTGCTGCGTTCAGCACTCCAAGGTTAACGACATGGGGACCCTCGACCGGAAACCTCCACTCGTACTTCAGAAGGAAGTGGCACAAAATGATCTTGACCTCATTCGCGGCGAAGAACCTTCCAGGACAAGCGTGAGAGCCGTGTCCAAAGCCGAGCTGGTTGGGACTGGTAGACACCAAGTATGATTGCTGCTTCAGCTCCGGGTTTTGCCGCATGCGGTGAAATCGGAGACCGTCAAACTTCTCACCGTCCTCGTAGAAGGAGTTGTCCCACATGTGAGTTGGCCCCACTCCAAGAAGCGTGCCTTGGGGAATCAACATCCCGTTGGCGAGGCGGAAATCTTCCACAGCAATGCGGTTGAGGAAGCCTGGAACAAATGTTAGTTTTCTCATTCAAGAAATGGGGGACAAGTACTGACAGTTGGCAACTGGATTGATCCGCTGCACTTCCTTCAGAACACTGTCCATCAAATCCAGCTGGGCCAGTCCGGCGTTGCTAAGACCATGAACAATCAATACAGAGACAATCTCCTGACGGAGCAGGTCAATAAGCTCTTCGTGTTCCGACAGAGCAAGCAGTGTCTTCTCAAGCAGATCCGCAGTGGTATGGATAGCTACCATCGCCAGACTGATCTGAGCTGTCGCCATGTCGATCTTCCTGCTGAGCGTAGCCAACGCCTGATCGAAAGCATACTCCGGCTCGAGGCCGCGCTTTTTTGCTTGCTCAACTTCGCGAGCGCGCTGATCCATGATGGGCTTGAGGACGCGGCGGCATCTGACGAGGTCGTATCTCAGAAGCCAGCAGGGAGGGAGGATCCACTGCACGAAGCGTTTGCTCCAAGTGGGAAAGAAGCGCAACGTGATACTGGCGATGAGGAAGTGCTTCGTGTACTTGGCCATGGCCCCAAGCCACTCTTCGCTGCGGCAAAAGGTTTTGCCTCCAAAGACTCTTGATGACGTTTTGGCTACGAGGCTGACGATGGGTGCGCCGAGTTTGAAGTCCTTCCATTCTGCTCATGTTAGGTTGACGGGCACGTTGAGACACAGCGACAGACTTTCAAACTCACCATAACTGTCTGAATACACCTCCGAAAGCGAGTCTGAAACTTCTTCCGAGATGGCTGGGATCATTTTACCTAAGTTCCGTCATGAGCTAACAACTCGAATGTCTTGTTTTACGCAGCTGGACGTTTCGCATACCGAGATTCTTGGTCGTCAGATGATCCTTGACCAACTTCAACATATCCTGGTCAAGAACATCACCGATCGGCTCGAACCCCTTCAGGGAACCATTTTGGACCTTGATACAAGTTAAAATGAGTTCCGACTTTTCATGCTGACAACATACCTCTTGGATGGCCTTAAGACTACTCATCACAGGATTGACACGGATCTCGCCAATCATAGAAGACGGCACAATCAACGCCTTCCCCAGCTCCATGTTCAGCCAGTACGGCGTGTCATGATACTTCTCCGCATACGAAGCGAAGTGCTTTCTGGGCGCCTTGATGAAGGCGGCGAGTCGAAAGAGTGTGACGAACTCGAACGGTCGTATGGGATTCGCGATGGGGAAACCACCCTTGCCGGCCGCCTTCTCTCCCATCGCCATGTAAGCGATGAGCATCAGGGAGGCAGCAACCAAGTACGGCAATAAGCCGTCATTACGGAGTGCTTGGGCGTCGAAGCCCGCGACATACAGCCGCTTGAGGATCGACATTGAGTTAGATGTTTGGAGAGACTGACACAAGAAGAGTGAATGTTGCTGGTTGGAAACGACCTCTGGCGACAGCAGCTGTGGATGGGGATGTCGGCGGATATCCTACGAAACACAACAACTGCATGTGTTTGCCAAGACGAGAGAAAGACGGGAGAAAAGCTGATCTGCGCGCTAGTCATACACCCTTGAGAGATCCAAACCACAAGCATGGGGGCTTTCTCAGAGCCTTGACATCATGAAGCCGTTCTTTTTTCGATCAGAAAGTTTAAAAGGCAAACAGGAAAAGATTCCCGTGCCCCGGTTTCCATTCACAGACGCAGCCTCGCGTACTCCGGGTTGTTCCCCATAACGAGACATATTGGCGTTTGAACGGTGCTAGCATCGCGGCAGCCATCCCGAGCGCGCGCGGCAGAGTGAAGTGGACATCGCAAGAGTCGTTGTTAACACGCCGAGTCATGTCGACCGCTGCCATCGAGAGCAAGATCCTCTCGGCCTGGGCGCGGGCTCGGCACGGGCACGGTGCGGGCACGGCGCGGGGCGGCGTTTGCTAGGGCTAGACAGTTCTTGACTGTGTGCATTACGTGCCGGGGTGATCTAGTGTGTTGTTTTCACAACGTCCGAGGGGGAGTGGGGGAAGCCGTACCCCTCGGATTGCGACTCCGACTCGCGAGGCAACCACCCTTGCTTGGTTTAATATACATCTCAGGTCCAATCCGGTGAGGCATTTGATAATCGTGGGCGCGCCCGCAAGAACCCAGGCCGTTGTGATGCACACCCTTGGGATGCGACTTACGTGACCCCGCCATGGTCCGGGGATGCTGACTCGAAAGGGTTTCTATCTGATCGTCACCTGGAATACCCTCAGATAACAAGATATGGCATTCATCGCCATGAAGCTCATGCCGTCTCCAGTGGTGGTAAGTCTTATACGTGTAGAAAAACACACCACAAAGACGCGAGCACCAGTCCTCCCCAGCATTAGCGGCGCCCGTCATCGTGCCACACTTACACGGCAATTAACCTCACCTGGACTTTTCAACATCGAACTTTGTTTGACTTACACGGCGATTTGACCTACATTTGGATATTCCACAAACCGCCGCATATCGCCGTCTTGCGCTCAACGCACACCCACACACACACTATGCCTACCTTTGCACAACCAGTTCCCGACGACATCGTCGCCTCGTCGGGGCTGCGGTCAAAGTTCCGGCCTCATGTGCACGGCAACTACCAGATCTGCGTAGATCCGTCAAAGGGGATGGAGACTTTCTACAACGACGCCATGTCAACGCAGCTCGAGTCCAAGACTCTGGCAGATATCCCAGGGCTCGGACTGGTCCACCCGATGGCGCTGGCCATGGCCAACTGTCTTCCGGAGCGGTTGCCGGCCATCACGCGGTTTGCAGACTTCACTATTCTGAATGATGATTATTATGATATTGCGAAGAGAGACGAGGTGAGAGATACTCTGAGACCAGGGCAGGAGCTGTCTTGAACACTGGGAACTAACGTAGAGTTTCTCGACAGATTGAGAAAGTCAATAATAATATCCAAGATGCGCTGCAAGACGCCTCGGCACCTGGCAGTAAGACCCAGAGCTCGGGCGGTTCTGATATCGACTTCAAGCCGAAACAGATGCAGGCTGCTCTGGTTCTTGAGCTCATCATGCTGGACCAGCAGCTTGCGATGGACGTCATGTCGTCCTACAGCCAGGGCCTTGATGTCGCCACCTTTGCTCCAGACAACCTCAGAACGTTGGATGAGTACTTGCCCGTGCGGAAGGTCAACTCAGGTCTTGAGTAAGTAAACCTGCCTCCGTTGATACTGCCATTTAGAACATCGTTACTGATCTATCTTTCCAGCGTCACCGCTGAAATGGTCTGCTTTGGCATGGGCCTCCGCATCTCCCCCTCCGACAAAGCCAAGCTCCGCCCGGTAGTCGACCTCGCCAACTTCGCCATCACCGTCGTCAACGACCTCTACAGCTGGCCCAAGGAAATCAAATGCCACCTCGAGACCCCGGGCTCCGAACTCCCCTTCAACGCCGTGGCGGTCCTCATGCGCCACGGCGGCTACTCCGAGCCCGAGGCCTTCCGCATCCTGTACGCCAAGCAGGCCGAGCTCGAGGCGGAGCACCTCCGCCAGCTCGACGCGCTCCGCGCACAGGAGGGCGGCCGGCTGCCCGAGAACCAGGAGCTCTACGTCGAGAACGCTCAGCGCGCGGTCTGCGGCTCGGAGCTGTGGAGCGTGTATACCAGGCGGTACCCGTCCAAGGCGGACCTGCGGCAGCCGGAGGTTGAGTTTGTGGACGGGGCGTTTAGGTATGTGGCTGACGGCGAGGGCGCCGGTGAGGATAAGGTAGTGTCTGAGAGTGTGGAGTCGTTGCCGACTACTGAGGTTGAGGACGAGTTCTCCTCGTCGGATGCGTCTCCGGGCTCGGTTGACCAGGCTATTTCGACCCCGCCGTCGACGACGTTCTGCAGCTGCGAAGATGAGGAGGAGCATATTACCAATGTGAAGGAAGTATGCGAAGACGAGGCAGACGGTGTCCGGGACATGTCGGATATCTCCCAAAAGTCCAAGAAAAAGATCGACACCCTGCTTCCGGAGGGACCTGGACTCACAACCTACGCGTCTCGACTGGAGGCTGCTCCTGACCACGTGAGTTGACCGATTGAAGGTGTTCAGAAAGCGAAAGACAAACGGCTAACATGTGTCCTCTTCACAGGCCGTCATCGCTCCAATCAAGTACCTCGCCACACTCCCCTCCAAAGGCGTCCGGGACACCTTCATCGACGCGCTCAACTGGTGGCTCGAGGTCCCGGAAGACTCGCTGCGCACCATCAAGACCATCATCAGCATGCTCCACGACTCATCTCTAATGTAT